AGATTGTTTCACAGTGCGTAGTTCCAGTGGCTTCCTAGTGTACACAGCGTGTGTGTGCGGTGTGTGTGTATGTGCGATGTGTGTGTGTGTGTGCGGTGTGTGTGTCTGGTGTGTGTGGTGTGTGCGTGTGATGTGTGTGTGTGCGGTGTGTGTGCGATGTGTGTGTGTGCGGTGTGTGTGTGGTGTGTGTGTGTGCGGTGTGTGTGCTGTGTGTGTGTGCGGTGTGTGTGTGTGCTGTGTGTGTGCGGTGTGTGTGTGCGTGTGTGCTGTGTGTGTGCGGTGTGTGTGGTGTGTGTGCGGTGTGTGTGTGCGGTGTGTGTGTATGTGTGTGCACTGTAGCGGTTTAGCGCGCTGTGCTATGAACCCGGCGACCCAGGTTCGCGTCCCGCTCACGGCCAACACCGGTGACGATTATCTGAACCGGTCCTGGGCCTCCCCTAGGTCGACTCAGCCTCAAATGAGTACCTGGTTGCGGTGTGTAAACATCGCTACTGGGGAGACAAAGGCGGTCGGGCGTGGTGTTGGCCACCCACCCCCTCGTGTACCATTGCGGCCTTCATAGGTGCTCGCTAACAGCACTTGCCCCTACATTCTGCTAAGGCTATACGGGGGATCTTTGTCTTTGTGCTTTTTACGTTTCGTGTTTCTTGGGACACGGTGTGCTTCACCACTGCCACTGTTTGTGCCTGAATCTTGCACTTTTCTTTTTAAAATTCCTTAATTGGTTCAAAATTTTTAAAAGCTAAATATTAGATTTGAAATTCTATGATTTCTTGCCTTTGAAAAGAAAAAAAAATAATTTGTGTTAATCATTAATTCTTCTTCCTCGGACTTTGTTGCAGTCTGTCACGGTCCGTGTGAGTTTAATAATTTATGTATTTATGAAACCCCGACTTTCAGAGCTTCTTAGCTCACAGGCTACTTTATAATAAATTGAAACAAGCGCGCGGTGTACAGCTGTATGCTAATCACGGCGGTTCGGCAGACAGCGGGAAGGGAGCCGATGGTGTGTGTGTGTGTGCGTTCGCGATTTGGCTGGGTGGGATTAAAGGCTAAAAAAAAAAAGCACGCGGACTGAGACTTCCATACAAAACGTGGCTTTTTTTTTCCTCCAACGTTTTTCTTTTTACAAAAGGGCGTTGTACATTTTACACATTGCTTCGCCCAGACACGGGGGCATCGCACAGAGGGCGCGTTCGGGTAACTTTGCCTCGGCGGTCTTCTTCGTCTTCGTCCTCTTCTTGTCGTACGGCTGACGATGTAGATGCAGGGCAACAAACTACAATTTCACATTTCAGGGGGTGGCTCAAGCCCAGCCAACCGCGTCAGGAGCAGTAGCGCAGGAGTAGTGAATCATCATCATCATCGGCTGTGATGTCTCCCTCGTATCTGTGGATCGGGGCTTTGTTGCGTCGTTATCCGTTACACTGCGGTCAGTGCTGAGTCTATGGACTTCAGTGCTGAGTCTATGGACTTCAGTGCTGAGTCTATGGACTTCAGTGCTGAGTCTATGGACTTCAGTGTTGAGTCTATGGACTTCAGTGCTGAGTCTATGGACTTCAGTGCTGAGTCCATGGGCAGTGCTGAGTCTATGGACTTCAGTGCTGAGTCCATGGGCAGTGCTGAGTCCAAGTTCTTCCATACGGATGCAGAGCAGCAACTACAATTTCACATTCAGGTGGTCAAGTCCAGATAACCAGCGGAGTGCATCATCATCATCTTCGCTGTGATGTCTCCCTCGTATTTGTGGATCGGGGCATTATAGCATCGTTAAACGTTTCACTACCACGGTCTGTCCTGGATGACCACAGTCGCACCACCACTTACGACTGGAGAGCTGTTTCGCCAGCATCTGCCGTGGTTTGCGCAGTGGATGCGGTTTAGGGTGGACCGTCAGCTTCGTGGAAGATGGAACCCAGAGGGATCTTCTGCGTTGGGTCTCTCACAAGGCTCCGTGGTGTCTGCGGTGTCTTGGGAAGGCAGGCAGAAGCGGACGGTGGCGATGTCGTTCTGAATTGAAGTAAAATAATCACGGGCAGGAAGGAGGGAGCAGTGGCGCAGTGATTAGCGCACTGGGTTAACCACCCGGCCACCCGAGTTAGATTCCTGGGCGATGGCAAACTCCGCGAGTGGCGAGCTCTCGCTGAAAGATGTCCCCATGCTCCTCTCGTTCACCGAACACGCATTGACCAGCGTGGTGAAGTATGGTCAAACAACCCCCCATCAGCCACCCCTATTCCCCCCCACTTCCGGCATGTGACCTACGCGGCGTGACCGGGGGAGGCCCTCGTCCAGCAGTGAAATTGACGAAGGGGAGGGGGCGGCGGGGGGGGGGGTGCTGCAAAATATGATTGTTGTTAATTTTATACTAACACGATGAAATACAAGAGGGCTCTCACACGTTTAACGGAGTCTGCAGAAGAGAGGAGGACGACCGCTGTTCGCACAAATATTGTTGGAGAGAAATCGGTTCATGTTGGTATTGTGCTCTGTTCGTATGAACGCGGCGGGCGGGCAGGCGGGCGGGCGGGCGGGGGGAGTAAGGAAAGAGGGGGGGGGGGGTAGGGGGGTTCGGGGCATTTTTGGACAGGAACAGATAAACTATGAATTCCATGAACCTCGAGACAAAACGTTTCCTTTTCCGTAGCGCCGGGCGCTATCGAGCGAGACGCGAGCCTCGAGACGAGCGGCTTGGCCTCGTGCTGCGGGCGCGGAATGAGCTGCGACGGAACGGCGCATGGACAGCGCGGAGCGTCCAGACGCCGGGTCCCAGCGGGAGAGAGAAGCTCGCCACGTGCGGGAGAAACTTCGCTTGCTTCCTCGGGCAGCCCCTGCCAGTGTGGGGTGGGGGGGGGGGGGCGGGGGGGCTCATCGGGCGCCTGGGAACCGCCTCCTTAGGGGGAGGCAATAGACACCGGTGGTGGGTTCGGAGCGGTGGCGCAACGGTTAGCGTCACTGCAAGTGTCGGAAGGCGGCTCGGCCGAGTTGGATCGTCGGTCACGGATAAATAAACGCCAGTGGCGTGTTGTGATATCGCAACCGGTCATTTGCACCCCCTTCCTCCCCCCCCCCCATCTCCCGTCTAGGGTACATGAACTCGCATTGACCAGCGTGGTGAAGTATGGTCAACTAACCCATGGTTTGACACGGCTTGGAGGGATTGTCATGCAAAAGGGGTCGTAAGTTATTATTCGTGTTATACCATCAGACCAATGGGGGGAGGTTGCTTTCTTCTTCTTCACATGCGCAGGTGGAAACTCATGGTGACAGCACATTGTACACCTCGTCTTGAGATGTCAACGGGTGTACACGTGCTGATGTGAAACCAAGCGTAAGAGGGCATTATCTCTTGCCTTACAGCTGTTGCCTTGGACCAGTTTGATCCACACAGCGCACAGGCACGCACGCAGACACACGCGCGCGGCGCAGTATCGATTTGGTAGGGCAACTATTTACAGAGAAGACCCATGACCCGGATCGACTGATAGAGTCTCCGATAAGGCGACCCTCGTCAAAACCGCGGCACGCGAACATTCTTGTTATCAATGTAAGACTCCCTTAATAGGCCGTCACACACGGGTGCTGCTGTAATTACCAACTAAATACTTGTTATTTATCTTACCGGGTAAGGCCCCACTGAGCTGCTGTGTAAGTCGCTCTTTTTTCAGAAGCGACCTGGCCATCACAAATGATGGCTCAGCGAAGTGGGCTTATCATTGTCAAGTGGAAATTTACAGCGGCTAAAATACTCTAAACCGCGTGTCGATTCTAAATGTGGAGGGAAAAAACCGGAGGACCCTGAGAAAAATCCACGCGGCCACGGGGAGAGAGAGAGAGACGCAAACTCAAAATATCCAGCAGGCGTCAGTGTCGAGATCTAACCCACGACCTCGTGTATACCATGCGAGGCAGTTAACATCTCCTCGCCACCGTGGCCACACCCCCCCCAACCCCACATTTAATAGGCTCAAGCTCAATTATATCGGGGTTTTTTTGTGTACGCCTCTTCGGCAGAAGCATAATCTGGTGATGTGCAAATCCCAACAGAGCGCGCGACCCACGTGTCTCGCACCGGTGCCGTCGCTGGACGCTCGAGGGACGCTCACGGCACAGAGCGAGGGTCCTCGTCTAGGGGGCGAGCGATGTAGGAGTGGGTGCCGTGCCCTGCTCCCCCTCCACCCTGCCCTCTCCACTCCCGACACATTCACCAACTTCACACTGACCAGCGTGCTAAAGTATGCTCACACACACACAACACAACCCCTACAGTAACTGACACGGGGCCTTGGAGGATGGAAGGGGGTAGGAGGAGAGAGGGTTTGGTCAAGCAGTGGATTGATAAAGGCTCTGTAAAAAAAATCACCGAGGCACTCGCACAATATGCCACTCGGAGGTGTGTGGGGGGGGGCGTTGGTCGGTGACCCCCCCTTCCGATAAAAAGGATGGGGGGGGAGAATGTTGCCCCGTTTTAGAAGGAGCCCGGTGCAAAGGGGACCCTCTTGGGGTCTGCGTGAGACGCTAGGGGGTCCTTCACAATCGAAGGGGACCCGATGAGCAGATGCGTGCATGACGCAAAACTAACAACAACAAAAACAACAACATGAAAAGTTTTCTCATGGCACGAAGACCCCCCCCCCATCCTCCCCCCCCCACCCTGAGGCCACCCTTCAATGCCTCTTTATCTGAACTCCTCCTCGTTGGAGGGAGCCGTCTCCGTTGCAAGAAGACTGAGACGCTCTTGGAGATACTCCCGTGTCGGACGGGAGAGAGAGAGAGAGATCAGAGCGTGCAATCTTTTGTGAAATCTTTCATTTAAAAAAGGGGGGAGGGGGGGGCACATAAAGCAAAGCATTGCAAAAAAAAAAACCCGAAATGATGAACGAAGCAAAGTGCCGACTACACCGGAGCATCTTCTCGTTTCCTCTGAGCGAGAGTAAGCCAGGATGGCGGATGGGGTTTTGGGTCGTGGTGGGTCACGGTGGGGGGTCACCTGTCCTCACCTGGCTGAGGTGATGCAGACGCGGCTGGCGGCTTGAGTGGAGGCCCATGGTGACGCTACTGCTGCTGCTGCTGTTGCCGTGATCGCGGTGACGGAAAGAACGGCAAAGCGCGCCGTTGCTCCCTCTCCTTGCGGACTTTCAGCGCGGGGGGGAGAGAGAGGCGGATCTAAGTTTGGCACCGCGCGTTTTATCCCCGTGCACCAAGGGGGGGGGGGGGGGGGGGGTAGGGGGGGGGTGTTTGCAGCAGCAGCAGCAGCAGCAGGAGGGGGAGGAGGAGGAGGAGCGGGTTGGGCCAGAGAGGGTGAGGATGGTTTGAGGGAGGGGTTCGCGTGGCTGTGGGAGGAGAGTGGTGGTAGGGGGGGGTGGTTGAGGGTTTCAAGGGAAGTTTAGACTACTGTTAGTTTGGACGCTTTTGTGAGTTTCGTGCGTGTCTGTGGACGCGGTTGTGTAGCGGTTTGCGCGCTGCGCTACAAACCTGGCGACCCAAGTTCGATTACTCGGTGACGATTATCTGAACCGGTCCTGGGCCTCCTCCCCTAGGTCGACTCAGACTCAAATGAGTACCTGGGTGCGGTGCGTAAAAACATCGCCACTGGGGAGACAAAGGCGGCCGGGCGCGGTGCTGGCCACCCACCCCCTCGTGTGCCGTGCCGGCCTTCATCGGTGCTCGCTAAGAGCACTTGCTCATACAGTCTGATAAGGCTACACGGGGGATCTTTGTCTTGGTGTGCGCGTGGGTCGACTCAGCCTGAGCACTTGGTGCGGCGTAGTGAACGTCACCACTAAGGGAGACAAAGGCGGCCGGGCGTGGTGGTGGCCACCCACGCCCTCGTGCCGGCCTTCACGGGATGCCACTCGCTAAGGGCGCTTGCAACCAACAGTCCGTTAAGGCTGTACGGGGGATCTTTGCCTTTGTGTGCGCGCGTGTTTGTGCGAGTTGGGCGGAGCGGTGGGCGCAGTGGTTAGCGCACCTGCAGCTCCGAAACCCGGCGGCCTGCCTGAATTCGATTCCCACTCCGAGGCTTGGCCAATATCAGTGGCCAGCCATGTACATATGTGTGTGTGTCTCGCTTAAGTCGACTCAGCCTCAAAAAGTTGGTAACCTGGTGCGACGTGTAAAGAATCACAACTGGGGAGACAAAGGCGGCCGGGCATGGCTCTGGCCACATCATTGCCTTGCTGCGCTTCGCTGCCTTTCACAAAGGCGCTGGTCCATTCATAAAAGCGCTCGTCCCATCTAGAGTCTACGTAGACTGTACTCTGCGATCTTGTCTTCATGCGTGTTTGTGTGTCTGTGTGTTTGTGTGTTTGTGTGTCTGTGTGTTTGTGTGTCTGTGTGTTTGTGTGTCTGTGTGGTTGTGTGTTTGTGTGTCTGTGTGTTTGTGTGTCTGTGTGTTTGTGTGTCTGTGTGTTTGTGCATTTGTGTGACTGTGTCTGTGTATTTGTGTCTGTGTGTCTGTGTGTCTGTGTGTTTGTGTGTCTGTGTGTCTGTGTGTTTGTGTGTCTGTGTGTTTGTGTGTCTGTGTGTTTGTGTGTCTGTGTGTTTGTGCATTTGTGTGACTGTGTCTGTGTATTTGTGTCTGTGTGTCTGTGTGTTTGTGTGTCTGTGTGTCTGTGTGTTTGTGTGTCTGTGTGTTTGTGTGTCTGTGTGTTTGTGTGTCTGTGTGTTTGTGTGTCTGTGTGTTTGTGTGTCTGTGTGAATGTGTGTTTGTGTATCTGTGTTTGTGCATTTGTGTGACTATGTGTCTGTGTATTTGTGTCTGTGTGTTTGTGTGTTTGTGTGTCTGTGTGTCTGGTCGTCTGTGTGTTTGTGTTTCTGTGTGTTTGTGTGACTGCGTGTCTGTGTGTCTGTGTGTCTGTGTGTTTGTGTGTCTGTGTGTTTGTGTGTCTGTGTGTTTGTGTTTGTGTGACTGTGTGTTTGTGTGTTTGTGTGACTGTGTGTTTGTGTGTTTGCGTGGCTGTGTGTGTGTTTGTGTGTCTGTGTGTTTGTGTGTCTGTGTGTTTGTGTGTTTGTGTGTCTGTGTGTTTGTGTGTCTGGTCGTCTGTGTGTTTGTGTTTCTGTGTGTTTGTGTGACTACGTGTCTGTGTGTCTGTGTGTTTGTGTGTCTGTGTGTTTGTGCATTTGTGTGACTATGTGTCTGTGTGTCTGTGTGTTTGTGTGTCTGTGTGTTTGTGTGTCTGTGTGTTTGTGTGTCTGTGTGTTTGTGTGTCTGTGTGAATGTGTGTTTGTGTGTCTGTGTTTGTGCATTTGTGTGACTATGTGTCTGTGTATTTGTGTCTGTGTGTTTGTGTGTTTGTGTGTCTGTGTGTCTGGTCGTCTGTGTGTTTGTGTTTCTGTGTGTTTGTGTGACTGCGTGTCTGTGTGTCTGTGTGTCTGTGTGTTAGTGTGTCTGTGTGTTTGTGTGTCTGTGTGTTTGTGTTTGTGTGACTGTGTGTTTGTGTGTTTGTGTGACTGTGTGTTTGTGTGTTTGCGTGGCTGTGTGTGTGTTTGTGTGTCTGTGTGTTTGTGTGTCTGTGTGTTTGTGTGTCTGTGTGTTTGTGCATTTGTGTGACTGTGTCTGTGTATTTGTGTCTGTGTGTCTGTGTGTTTGTGTGTCTGTGTGTCTGTGTGTTTGTGTGTCTGTGTGTTTGTGTGTCTGTGTGTTTGTGTGTCTGTGTGAATGTGTGTTTGTGTGTCTGTGTGTTTGTGTGAATGTGTCTGTGTGTTTGTGCATTTGTGTGACTATGTGTTTGTGTCTGTGTGTCTGTGTGTTTGTGTGTCTGTGTGTTTGTGTGTCTGTGTGTTTGTGTGTCTGTGTGTTTGTGTGTCTGTGTGAATGTGTGTTTGTGTGTCTGTGTTTGTGCATTTGTGTGACTATGTGTCTGTGTATTTGTGTCTGTGTGTTTGTGTGTTTGTGTGTCTGTGTGTCTGGTCGTCTGTGTGTTTGTGTTTCTGTGTGTTTGTGTGACTGCGTGTCTGTGTGTCTGTGTGTCTGTGTGTTTGTGTGTCTGTGTGTTTGTGTGTCTGTGTGTTTGTGTTTGTGTGACTGTGTGTTTGTGTGTTTGTGTGACTGTGTGTTTGTGTGTTTGCGTGGCTGTGTGTGTGTTTGTGTGTCTGTGTGTTTGTGTGTCTGTGTGTTTGTGTGTTTGTGTGTCTGTGTGTTTGTGTGTCTGGTCGTCTGTGTGTTTGTGTTTCTGTGTGTTTGTGTGACTACGTGTCTGTGTGTCTGTGTGTTTGTGTGTCTGTGTGTTTGTGCATTTGTGTGACTATGTGTCTGTGTCTGTGTGTCTGTGTGTTTGTGTGTCTGTGTGTTTGTGTGTCTGTGTGTTTGTGTGTCTGTGTGTTTGTGTGTCTGTGTGAATGTGTGTTTGTGTGTCTGTGTTTGTGCATTTGTGTGACTATGTGTCTGTGTATTTGTGTCTGTGTGTTTGTGTGTTTGTGTGTCTGTGTGTCTGGTCGTCTGTGTGTTTGTGTTTCTGTGTGTTTGTGTGACTGCGTGTCTGTGTGTCTGTGTGTCTGTGTGTTTGTGTGTCTGTGTGTTTGTGTGTCTGTGTGTTTGTGTTTGTGTGACTGTGTGTTTGTGTGTTTGTGTGACTGTGTGTTTGTGTGTTTGCGTGGCTGTGTGTGTGTTTGTGTGTCTGTGTGTTTGTGTATCTGTGTGTTTGTGTGTTTGTGTGTCTGTGTGTTTGTGTGTCTGGTCGTCTGTGTGTTTGTGTTTCTGTGTGTTTGTGTGACTACGTGTCTGTGTGTCTGTGTGTTTGTGTGTCTGTGTGTTTGTGCATTTGTGTGACTATGTGTCTGTGTCTGTGTGTCTGTGTGTTTGTGTGTTTGTGTGTCTGTGTGTTTGTGTGTCTGTGTGTTTGTGTGTTTGTGTGTCTGTGTGTTTGTGTGTCTGTGTGTCTGTGTGTTTGTGTGTCTGTGTTTGTGTATTTGTGTGTCTGTGTGTTTGTGCATTTGTGTGACTATGTGTCTGTGTCTGTGTGTCTGTGTGTCTGTGTGTTTGTGTGTTTGTGTGTCTGTGTGTCTGTGTGTTTATGTGTTTGTGTGTTTGTGTCTGTGTGTCTGTGTATTTGTGTGTCTGTGTGTCTGTGTGTTTGTGTGTCTGTGTGTTTGTGTGTCTGTGTATCTGTGTGAATGTGTGTTTGTGTGTCTCTGTGTTTGTGTGAATGTGTGTTTGTGTGTCTGTGTGTTTGTGCATTTGTGTGACTATGTGGCTGTGTATTTGTGTCTGTGTGTCTGTGTGTCTGTGTGTTTGTGTGTCTGTGTGTTTGTGTGTCTGTGTGTTTGTGTGTCTGTGTGAATGTGTGTTTGTGTGTCTGTGTGTTTGTGCATTTGTGTGACTATGTGTCTGTGTATTTGTGTCTGTGTGTCTGTGTGTCTGTGTGTTTGTGTGTCTGTGTGTTTGTGTGTCTGTGTGTTTGTGTGTCTGTGTGTTTGTGTGTCTGTGTGAATGTGTGTTTGTGTGTTTGTGCATTTGTGTGACTATGTGTCTGTGTATTTGTGTCTGTGTGTCTGTGTGTTTGTGTGTTTGTGTGTCTGTGTGTTTGTGTGTATGTGTGTCTGTGTGTTTGTGTGTCTGTGTGTTTGTGTGTTTGTGTGTCTGTGTGTTTGTGCATTTGTGTGTCTGTGTGTCTGTGTGTTTATGTGTCTGTGTGTTTGTGTCTGTGTGTTTGTGTGTCTGTGTGTTTGTGTGTCTGTTCGTGTGTGTGTCTGTGTGTTTGTCTTTCTGTGTGTGTGTGACTGCGTGTCTGTGTGTCTGTGTGTTTGTGTGTCTGTGTGTTTATGTGTCTGTGTGTCTGTGTGTTTGTGTGACTGTGTGTTTGTGTGTTTGTGTGACTGTGTGTTTGTGTGTTTGCGTGGCTGTGTGTGTGTTTGTGTGTCTGTGTGTTTGTGTGTCTGTGTGTTTGTGTTTGTGTGACTGTGTGTTTGTGTGTTTGTGTTACTGTGTTTGTGTGTTTGCGTGGCTGTGTGTGTGTGTTTGTGTGTCTGTTTGTATGTGTGTCTGTTTGTTTGCGTGTCAGTGTGTTTGTGTGTCTGTGTGTTTGTGTGACTGTGTGTTTGTGTGTTTGTGTGTCTGTGTGTTTGTGTGACTATGTGTTTTGTGTTTGGGTGTCTGTGTGTTTGTGTGACTGTGTGTTTGTGTGACTGTGTGTCTGTGTGTTTGTGTGTTTGTGTGTCTGTATGTTTGTG